CATCCCAGCACAGGCTGGACGATCCAGGGCCACAGGCCAGGACAGAACCCCTGAGATTGGTGGCATCCCCGTTTCTTCAAGGGGCACCTCCACTTGCTTTCCCCAGCAGGAATTGGAGCAGGCCCCAGCGGAGGTTCTTCCATGACTGCTGGATGCAGCCTCTTGCAGGGATGCATGTCCTTGGGAGGCGGCCGTAGCCTTGACCCTGGACCTCTGGGACCCCGACCCTAACCAAGGGGACAGAAACTCCTTGGCTTTGAAGATACATGAAGATACAGAGAGAGGCCAAGTGCAGTGGCTCATGCCTGTAATCCCAGCACTTAGGGATGCTGAGGTGGGGGGATCACTTGAGGCCAGGAGTTCGAGACCAGCCTGGCCAACATGGCGAAACTCCCTCTGTACTGAAAATACTTAAAAAAAAAAAAAAAAAGGAACCAGGCGTGATAGCAGGCACCTGTAATCCCAGCTACTCAGGAGGCTGAGGCTGAAGAATCACTTGAACCCAGGAGGCGAAGGTTGCAGTGAGCTGAGGTCACACCACTGCAGTCCAACCTGGGTGACAGAGCAAGAATCTATCTCAAAAAAAAAAAAAAAAATTGCAGGGAGAGGGTACCCTGCGGAACCCCACTTTACTCCAGTAGGGAAGGCACCGTGTGGAAGGGTAGAGGAAGAGATCTGGAGACAGTGAAAAAGACATAGGTTTATTAAGGGAACTTTCACACGGGTGCAGTGGCTGTGGCTGGACATGAGAACCACTACATTTGTAAAAAGCATGCAGCTTCCATCACATTTTCACCTAGCATCCTCGACCTGTTACTGGTGGAAGGTATCCGAGTTCCCGGTGGTGAATCCATACACAACTGAAACAACCTCAATTCTTGCCTCCTCAGAAGAAAGAATTTGACTAAAGGTCATAAGGTAGATACTAGATAGAGGCAAGTTGCAGAGCAGGAGTAAAATGTTTTTAAAAAGCAGGCCAGGAAAGGGGGTAGTGGCTCATGCCTGTAATCCCAGTACTTTGGGAGGCTGAGTCAGGTGGATCACCTGAGATCAGGAGTTCGAGACCAGCCTGGCCAACATGGGGAAACCATGTCTCTACTAAAAATACAAAAGCTAGCTGGGCGTGATGGTGAGTGCCTGTAATCCCAGCTACTTGGGAGGCTGAGGCAGGAGAATCTCTTGAACCTGGGAGGTGAAGGTTGCAGTGAGATGAGATTGAGCCACTGCACTCCAGCCTGGGCTATACAGTGAGATAGTATTTAAAAAAATGGTTATTAAAAAACTTTAGAACAGGTAGTAAAGGAAAGAAGGAAAGTACAACTTGGAAGAGGGCCAAGCGGTCAACCCGAGAAGCCAAGTGCCCAGCTGGACCTCTTGACTCAGATTTTCACAGGTTGCCATCCTTCCAGGATCTTGCCTCTCCTGATTCCTTAGCTTGGGGGTCCGAACACACTTTCTTCTTTGACCATAAACTCATTCTGAGGGTACACATCAGGTATGGCTGTCAGGCACCTCTGCCATACAGAGGGGTCCCTCTGGTCCTAGGAACCTGGACTGGACACAATTGTTTGTACGATTACTCCCCCACCCCTTTTCTCATGCTCGCCAAATCCACCTTCTGAGAATGGACCTTAATACTGGAAATGGAGTCCCCAGCATAGTGAAAATAAATACATTCTAGAAATTGACAAAGCCTAAAGGCTTTTTCTCAAATGTTTATGCACTTTTTCTTTTTTTCTTTCTTTAAAATTTTATTTGTATATTCCTTTAGTGAAATGCTTACATGCTTAAATTAGTATATAGTTCACTGTTTATGAGGCAGCTTTAGGCCACATTTAACAAAAGTAAGAACAAGTAGGATGCAAAAGTTTATACAGTATGTAAAAATCAGTAATTCAGGCTCAGTGGCTCACACTTGTAATCCCAGTACTTTGGGAAGGGGAGGCAGGAGGATGACTTGAACCCAGGAGTTTGTGATCAGCCTGGACAACATAATGAGACCACTGCCTCTAGAAGAAATCAAAAAAAAAAAAAAATTACCCCAGTGATCTGGCACACACTATCATCCCAGGTACATGAGAGTCTGAGGCAGGAGCATTGATGAAGCCTGGGAAGCAGAGGTTGCAGTGAGCCAAGATTGTGCCACTGCACTCCAGTGCAGGTGACAGAGCAAGACCCCATCTCAAACAAAAAAAGAAAAAAAAAACACTAAAGGGTGCCAGAGAAGATGCCTTCCTTTTTCTTTTTCTTTTTTTTTTTTTTTTTTCAGTCTCGCCCTGTCACCCAGGCTGGAGTGCAATGGCCCAATCTCGGCTCAATGCAACCTCCACCTCCCTGGTTCAAGTGATTCTCCTGCCTCAGCCTCCTGAGTACCTGGGATTACAGGTGCTCACCACTGCACCCAGCTAATTTTTGTATTTTTAACAAAGATAGGGTTTCACTATGTTAACCAGGCTGGCCTCAAAGTCCTGACCTCAGGTGATTCGCCCGCCTCGGCCTCCCAAAGTCCTGGGATTACAGGCGTGAGCCACCACGCCTGGCCATTTCAAATATTTCTTCAGTTTACAGTTGACTAAGAAAGCAAAGCTTTATCTGAAACCTTCAGGGCAGCAAAAGGGGTGTTAAGTTTTTGCCTGTGAGTGTGATTCCCTCCAGGCCCCTCAGGAAGAAATTTGGAACAAAGAACACCAGTGAGAGTTCAGTCCTCGGTTCACCCTTATCTGGGGTCGAAGGGAAAGCTGTCACCATTTTTCATCCAATGGAGATCTGCGCTTCCGAAAACAACTTAGGGACATTTGTCAAGATGTTATCTTTACTTTCTATAGGGGATCAAATATCTTGTGGCTCTAACCGACTTGGGTGGCTATTGTTCTGGGCTATTATTACCTTTTTCCTTTTCTTTTCTTTTCTTTTTTGAGGCGGAATCTCGCTCTGTCTCCCAGGCTGGAGAGCAATGGCCCAATCTAAGCCCGCTGCACCATCTGCCTCCCGGGTTCAAGCAATCCTCCTGCCTCAGCCTCCTCAGTAGCTGGGATAACAGGCATCCGTTATCACATCCAGCTAATTTTTGTATTTTCAGTAGACATGGGGTTTCACCATGTTAGCCAGACTGATCTGGAACTCCTGACTTCAGTTGATCTATCTGTCTTGACCTCTCAAAGTGCTGGGATTACAGGTGTGAGCCACTGCAACCAGCCAATAACTATCTTCTTATCAAGTTGCTAATTTACTTCTCAAGAATAGCTAGGTGCCCGGAATTTCCCTTGAAGGCTAATGTGGTTCTTGTATGTGCCCTCCAGATCTCATGATGAAATGTGATTTCCAGCCAGGTGCAGTGGCTCACACCTGTAATCCCACCACATCCTCTTCCTCCAACTCCTCCTTCTCCTCCACCTCCTCCTTCTCCCCCACCTCCTCTTCCTCCTCCAACTCCTCCTCCTCCTGCAACTCCTTCTCCTCCAACTCCTCCTTCTCATCCACCTTCTCTTTCTCCCCCACCTCCTCTTCCTCCTCCAACTCCTCCTTCTCCTCCTCCTCCTCCTTCTCTAACTCTTCCTCCTCCTCCAACTCCTCCTCCTCTTCCAACTCCTCCTCCTCTGTTTCTTTATCTTCCTCTTCCTCCTCCTTCATTTCTTTTTCCTCCTCCTCCTACATTTCTTTTTCCTCCTCCTCCATTTCTTTTTCCTCCTCCTTTTCTTTTTCTTCCTCCTTTTCCTTTTCCTCCTCCTCCTTCATTTCTTTTTCCTCCTCCTTTTCTTTTTCCTCCTCCTCCTCCATTTCTTTTTCGTCCTCCTGCTCCTCACAGGCATGAGCCACTAAACAAGGGCTGGCTGTTTGTTTCTTTCTCCTCCTCCTCCATTTCTTTTTCCTCCTCCTTTTCTTTTTCTTCCTCCATTTCTTTTTCCTCCTCCGCCTCCTCACAGGCATGAGCCACTAAACAAGGCCTGGCTGTTTGTTTCTTTCTCCTCCTCCTCCATTTCGTTTTCCTCCTCCTCCTTCTCCTCCTTCTCCTCTTCCTCCTCCTCCTCCTCCTCACAGGCACCAGTCACCACGACTGACCTAGCTGTTTCCTTTTCCTCCTTTCCTCCTCCTGCTCCTCCTCTGCCTCCCAAATTGCTAGGATTACAGGCCTGAGCCACCACACCTAACTATTTCTTCTTCTTTTTCTCCCTCTTCCTCCTCCTCCTTCTTCACTTCATTTTATTTTTTTTTTTGATGTGGAGTCTCACTCTGTTGCCCAGGCTGGAGTGCAGTGGTGCAATCTCAGCTCACTGCAACCTCCACCTCCTGGGTTCAAGCCTCCCAAGTGTCTGCGATTACCAGCATCTGCCACCATGCCCAGTCAATTTTTGTACTTTTAGTAGAGATGGGGTTTCACCATGTTGGCTAGGCTGGTCTCAAACTCCTGACCTCGTGATCTGTCCACCTCCACCTCCCAT